TGCACGATCAGCTGGGAAGATTACTAAGGTAGAGGGTTACTGTGAATCCGGGTTAGATCTATGGGTCGATTTAAAGGTAATCAAGAAAAATGTAATGGGGATTGTGACTGAACAGAATTACATGTTTTTTCCTATATTTGTGGGCAATATTTGTACATCTTCTTTCATTTTTTTTGCTGGGATTATTAGATGTGAAGAATGTGGAAAATATTATAGTATCATCATGATCTACTTTGAATTTGTGCCATGTTAACCTCACTCTTACTTCTCATGGATTTTGAGTTTCATTTGACTTTAATTATTTTTTTATTTATATTTTTATAAAACTCAATATCTTCTTCCTTTTGGCTAATTTTCAGATAGATAGCAATCCAGAAAATGATTTAGATCATAGTGACTTGCCTCAACCCACTGCGTCCCCCCAAGGCTTTTCAACAAGAGTGCAACTCACAGATTTGGGGTCACAACCAATTCTTGGAAGCAATTTTGATACCAATGAAAGAGGCAGTGGCCTACTCATGTCAGCCTCTCCAGATGCTGATGTGAGCACAATCAAAATCAGCAAACAAGCTTCTAACGCAATGGAAGAGCTTTCAAGCATGGCTTTTGCTCAAGAGCCTCTTTGGCAAGTTGACATGGCAAGCAATACTGAAATGCTAAGTGATGTCGAGTATATGAGAGTGGTTAAGGTGAGAGAATGTCAGTCGCCCCCAAGCTTGGACGTTGGCAACTCTCGTGAACTTGAACCAGTTCTTGCAGTTAGTTCTGAATCTTCACGAGCAGTTGAGTACTTCGAAATTAGGCCTATCAGCATTATTGAACTTTTGATGGATTTGGTAAGTTCTCTTTTGATTAAACTTATTTAGTGTTTTTCTACGAAACAAGTTTGAAAAGGAAAAAAAAGGGGTTTTTACCATATAAGGACAAATAGGCAGTAACCAAGACAAAATGGTTCAGCCCCTCAAAAATTGGACAAACCGGTCTAGAGACATAAAAGTTATTTCATGTAACTTTTGAACAGTGACTGGATCGGTTTGTCCAATTTTGGAGGGACTGGACAATTTTAACATTTTGTCTTGTGTGGACTTTTTTTAATCATTTTCTATAAAATAAATCATGAGATATTATCAATTGATTGCTTATATTTTGATTGATGATCAGGAGCAATGGTCACTTGCTTTTTCCAATATTGTCTCTAAAGCAACACTAGTGGGAGTTTTGGCATCAACAGGAGTGGAAAGACACTACGATGGAACTCTCCAACTGGTAATATATATAAATAGGAACCTATGTTTCATCCAACTATAAATGTTGTGTATATGCTTCATCCTCCTATCATGAGATAATTATGACAAAGTGCATTATAGTTTTGCTAAGCGCAGTTGTCCAAGCGTGGCGACTACACACAATTTGATGTGGGATCTACTGTGAGTCCCACACTAATTATGGCTGACACTAGCATTAATTATTCTTATAATAACCATTGTACC